GGTGCTGCTGCTGCTGCTGCTGCCGCCGCTGTCACTGCTGCTACTGCTGAAACTGTCACAAGCGCTGCTGCTGCCGCTCTTGCTGCCGCAGAGATCAACGTTTGCTGCTGCTGCTGCTGCTGCCGCTGCATCACGGGACGTTACAATGTACGGACTCCCCTCACTGCGGCCACAGCCAGAGGGGGAAGCAGCAGCAGCAGCAGCAGCAGAAGGCAGCAGCAGCCGACCCCCAATAATCGATGCCAACTGCCAGACAGGCATAAAGCTGCAGCAAACAGAGCAACCCGAATTCCATTACATAAAGGAGCAAGCAGCAGCAGCAGCAGCAGCAGCACAAGCAGCAGCAGCAGCAGCAGTAACAAGGGATTCGCCCTTCAGCCGGCAGCAGCAAAGCAGCGCCTCGGCCAGTCGAGAGGAGCAGCATAAACAGCGGCAGCAACAAAGAGCAATGCAAGAGCAGCGAAAGCAGCAGCAGCAGCAGGATGCAGCAGCAGCAGCAGCAATTACTCGGGTGGCTTCCAGTCACTGCGGCAGCAAACCAGCAGCAGCGCGAACAGATGCACGCGAAGCAGCAGAAGCCGCATGTTGTTGCTGCAGCAGCAGCAGTAGCACACACTTCCGCTGCTGCTGCAGCCGCTGCTGCTGCTGCTGCTGCAGCCGTTGCTGCTGCTGCTGTTGCTGCTGCTGCTGCTGCAAACTGATGTTTCATCCATAAGACAATGCGATGGGCTGCGCATGCAGCGCACTGCTGCTGGCGCAGCAGCAGCAGCAGCAGGAGCAGCAGGAGCAGCAGCAAGAAGGCAGAGGAAAGCCCTAAGATGCAAAATCGACAAAGTTGACAAAAGATCACCGGATACGCCATCTGTCTCACAGGACTCTTGCTGCTGCTGCTTTTGCTGCTGCTGCTGCGGCAGCAGCAGCAGCAGCAACTCGGCCCCCAGCAGCTCGAGAACAAGCCTCGGCTTACTTCCACCCCAGCCAGAACTGCTGCTCCTGCTGCGGCTGCTGTTGCTGCTGCTGTTGCCATGGGCCTGGTTGAAATCGTCTACCTTCTGTTGCATTCTTGCTGCTGCTGCTGTTGCTGCTGTTGTTGCTGCAGAGCAGCTGCAGCAGTCTTCAAATCCACAGGGCACTTCACGTGAGGAGTCCCTGGCCTCTGCAGCAGGTTGTGCTGCAGCATTTGCTCCTGCTGCCGCTGCAGCTGCTGCTTTTGCTGCTGCTTCTCTGATCTGCTGCATCCCAGCAGCAGCAGCAGCAGCAGCAGCAACGGGGAAGCCAAAATGCATCTCCAGCAGCAGCGGCAGGAAAGGACCCCCAGCAGCAGGATCAAAGAAAGCCTTTGCCCAGCTCAGCGAGCGCCTGCAAGCCGCGAGTAGCCTGCAGCAGCAGCAGCAGCAGCAGCAACAGCAGCAGCAG